AAAATTATGAATATGTGACCATTAATCACAAAATGTGACTTTTTTATCTTTATTTAATAAATATTTTTAATTAATTAAATAAATACCTGATTTTTGAATTTTTAAACTATTTACCTTATTTTTGAATTGAGGTAAAGAAAATACCTTAAATATGATTTTTTTTCCCATATTTTATTACCTTTAAGAAGTAGAATTAGGGACTCCATATGTCTTTTTAAAGTTCATTTAGCCCCTGCTAAGGCTCCATCAAAATAAAATTTTGAGGAAAAATGTATTTTTGAGCAGTGAATTTTTTGAAAATGTGTGGTTAAAAAATAAGAAAAGTCTTTTATTAATATATAATATTATTTTATCGAAAAATGTGCCGAGTGAAATTGAATTTTAAATAAAATGCATTTTTTAAAAAAATAAAGTCCAAACAAGACTTAGACATTCCGTCCCAAAAGACCCTTCCTCCTAGAAGTATGAGTGTGTTTGGTAAGTATAACATATTTGATAAAGACTTTACTTTTTATGTAAAGTAAATAACAAACGATAAAAGAAGATCTTGTTTGTGGTAGAAATTCATAATTTTAACTTTTAACATTAATGTTAGAATTTCGGTGTAACTCGAATTCTATTTTAAAGGTATATTTAGAATTGATTATTTGTTTTGAAGAAGTAAAAAACTACAAAAAGTCAAAGAAGATAAAAGATGAATGAGGACTAAGAAGTCAATCACAGAATTGCCCGCGGCCGCTCATCAAGTGCTGAGAACAAGATTTGGGCGCTTGCTAGACACGAGCAGACTGCTCAAGCAATAGTGGCAACTGCTTGCTAGCCGCAACTTCATCTAAATTTTCAGAGTTTTACGATTTGGTCAGTTTTGAGAATCATATTTCAACCCAAATATTTGATTATTGATTTTACTTATTGTATTGAAACTTTACCATATATTAAAAAAATTATATATTAATTCCCTTAGAGGCTGTTTGGGAGAGCTTTTGAGAAAATTTGAGCAATAATTTGACCGTTGTACAATGGTCATCGATCCCATTTTGGTCGAAATTTTTGACTGTCTGAAAATCAAATACCAAAAATGTCATTCTCTAAAAAAAATGAATTAAATGTTAAGGGGCCAAAAGGTCATTCTACGTTAAAATGGTCCATAATTACGACTGGCCCTATTTAACATATGCATTATATAACGGTCATAATTTTGTTGTAAATGGAAAAAAAAAAAAAAAATCTCTCCCAGACAAGGGCTTAATATGTTAGAAATTGTTGTATTATAAATATGTGGTGTATTACACATATTTGATGAATCTAGATTAATAGAGAGACTCACAGATAGAGAGATCGAGGATGGAGTCTTGTTAGATTTAGCATAACATATTGTAACTCTTTCTTTTTGATATAGTGAATTCTTCGTATTTTTTCGTAATTTTCCCATCTCGGTTGACATAAATCTTATATTTTATAATTGTTATTTTTATCTTGTCTTTTATCTCGTCATTAATATCCATAGCAATTAACTTAATTTCTAACAAGTAGATGAATTTTGGGTCTTTAAATTTTAGCCCATTTTCATTGTGGGCTAAACTTGGAAGCCCAAAGTCAACATTGGTTGCATTTAATATGGGCAAATTACCTAATTCCCCACTTTTGGAGATCCAAATTCTAAAATTAGATTTCTTGTTTTAATTTTCAAAAATCAGATCTTTTTTAATTAGATACAACATAATTATATATGTATTATATATATACAGATTTAATTAAACATTAATCATAAAATTTCATCCTAAATCAAACTATTTTAAATCCCTACTCTCTCTCGCGACAGTACCCAAACCAAAATTCCACACACTCTCTCTTCCTTATCTCCGACGGCGTGGAAGAGGCGGCGGGGTCGTGGTTGTGGTGGCTGGTCGGTGGGGGCGCCTTTGTCGAAGACTCGCAAGGCCGGCCAACGCTGCTTCTTTCTCGTTCCAATGACATCCTTCTCTCTCTTCCTTATCTCAGGCGGCGAGGTCGTGGTAGCTGGTTGGTGTTGGTGGCGGTGCCGTCGTCGAAGAAATCGCAAGGTTGGTCGACGCTGCTGCTATATGTGCGGTGGTTCCTTTTTTTTTCCCCCTTTGATGAGGCCGTCATGGTTGTAGGAAGGTAACATGGTCAGATTTTTTTTTGTGGTTTCCAACAATTGCTCAGCTGCTGTGGCAATGGTTTGAGGTGATTGTTGTAATTGTTGGTTGGTGATGGATTTCGAACGGTGGTGACGGTGCTTACGAAGATGATGACTGAGATTGGAAGATGTAGTGGTGGCAGTAGTGGTGGTACGACAGTGTGGTGCATGCAGTAATGGTGGTTGTGGTGTTTGTAGTTTGTGGTTTCCGGCAATGAGCGTCGTTGCTGTGGCTTTCCTGCTAGGTTATGTTGGTGCGGCTGAATCTGTTGTTGTATTGGTATGGGTAGATATGTTGTGGGTGGGTTTTATTGAATTTGGCGGTTGCAGTAGGCGGTTTTGTAGGGACGATGGTTTCTGGAGGTCACAGTGAGTTGATGTGGGTGGCCGTAGCTGTGGAGATGGTGGTGCTGTGGCGTGGTGGTGCTATGGGTACGGTGTGTTGTGTGCCGTGGTAATGTTTCCATGGTGGTGGGTCTAGCGGTGTGCAGTGGGGGTGATGAGTCAGTGGTTATTATGTGGTTGACCTTATCTCCGATGGCGTGGTGGGTGCAGTGGCGTGGTGGGGTGCAACGGCGTTGGGTTTGGGCTTTTGGGTTAGTTTCTTCCTCTGATCTGCTTTGTCGGAGGTTTGGCGGAGTAGGGTTAGGGCATGTAAGACGGTGGTGGTGGTGAGGTGGTGCTGTATAGTCTTTGTGACCAATGCTGTGACCCGAGCCATGTGCTGTGACCTATGCTGTGATCTGAGTCATGTGCTGTGACCTTTGTTGTGACCTGTGTTGTGACCATTTGAAAATAACATGTGATTATTAACAAAAATGTGAGACATGAGTCTTATCATGTTATTAATCATTATAAACAAACAACCATGCATTGTGATCTGTGACCTGTAACTATGATTTGTAACATGAGCTGTGACCATACAACAGAGAAGCTGTGACCATCAAATGCGGATATGTGCTGATAGTGGTCACAATTGTACGAATAAAATCATGTCAACTGTAAAATGGCGGAGTTGTCGCCGAAATATTCGTCGAAATCGGAGCAGTCGCCGGAGCGATAGGGGTGGTGGAGGTGAGGGTGGGTTAATTAATTATATATATCTATTTCATTATTTATTTATTTATATATATAAATAAATAAATAAATATTTATATATGTGTGTATGTATATCTCAAAATATCTGATTTTAGAAATGTGAAAGTTGATTTGCTATTTTTGAAATAGTGGAAAGTAAAAGCTGGAAAAATGAATTCTTCCCGTGATGCGTCAGAAACGTGACACGTCACACATTGTAACAACGTCTTAGTGGCAACAGTGACACTGCCATTGCTGATATCCCGCACGTCTCACACAATATGCGTTTATAAAAGCAAAATCACCGACGAGAAAGAGAGAGAGTGTGAAATGGAGAACGAGCAGATTTCAGAGAGTGTAAGGCGACGAATCCAGGAAATACTCAAGGAAATTGAAGTAGAGGAGGAGGAGAAGAATTATGACTAGTAAAAAACTCTTCAATTTTCGTTTTTTTCAGTGCATATACTGTTTGAAAAAAAATTGGAACATGATTACGATAATTGGATTATTTGCTTCTGTTAAATGTGCATGTTTGGATTTATGGTTTTTGAATATTGAATTTGAAGTTCTTATTTTTTGTTTTTATGAGCTCCTAATAATCTCTAAATTTATAATGCTCCACCATATAAATTAAAATCGTCGGAAATATTGTTCAATTTTTCCTTTTTTTAGGAGGAGGTTTTTCACTTGATTTTCTCCATTTGCTTTTAGTTTTTGGAAAATTGGACCAAGATTACGATGATTCGATTATTTTACTTTTTTCTTCAGTTAACAATGCATATTTTTATTTAGGATTTTTGGATGTCAGAAGGTAGAGATCGTAAGATTGAATAATGATATTCCGATTGAATGTATAGTTTTTATTTTTGTTTTAATGAAATCCAAGCGATCACTATACTCTGTGTAAATGATAAAGCCAATGGTAAGTGTTTTGGTGTTTATGTTTTATAAAGACATGCATGCGTGTACCATAAGACCACGGATTTAGCTAAAGTAAAATTTGTTCAATTTTCAATTTTTTTTTTCGAGGGGAATAATAATTCAATTGATTTTCTCTCTTTGCATTTGCGTTTTCCCATACTGGAACATGATTACCATGATTGAATTATTTTACATTTTTCTCCTTTTAACTGTGCAATTTTGGATTCAGGGTTTTTGGTTGTCAGAAATTAGAGATTGAGTTCCACTGTTTAATTTATAGTGTTTATTTTTTATTTCATGACGTCCAAGCAATCACAAGATTTGTAATGCTCTTAATGCCTCTTATGTAAATGATAGACCCAAGATTAAGTTTGGTGTTTATCGTTTTACACAGGCATGTATACGACAGCTGATAAGACCATGGATTTAGCTAATGGATAATCCTCGTGTTATTTTGATTGAAATAAAATTTGAAAAATTGGAAAATCAAATAGCAGAAATTGTTGTTACTAGCATCCTTTATTTTTTGACATTATAGAACTCCATAGAGCCTGTTTAGTAGGGATTTAGTCCAAGCAATCACAAGATTTGTAATGCTCTTAATGCCTCTTATGTAAATGATAGACCCAAGATTAAGTTTGGTGTTTATCGTTTTACACAGGCATGTATACGACAGCTGATAAGACCATGGATTTAGCTACTGGATAATCCTCGTGTTATTTTGATTGAAATAAAATTTGAAAAATTGGAAAATCAAATAGCAAAAATTGTTGTTACTAGCATCCTTTATTTTTTGACATTATAGAACTCCATAGAGCCTGTTTGGTAGGGATTTTTGGGGGAAGAATTGATTTTGAATAGTGATATGATGGGAAATGTGTGGTTGAAAAAGAAGAAAAAATGATTGATGTGATGGAAAATATTATTTTATTGAAGAATATGTGGTTGAAATGCGTTGTTGAAAAAGAAGGAAAAGTTATTGCTGTGATGTAAAATATTATTTTATTGAAGAATGTGTGGTTGAAAATGAGTAGAAGAATGAGAATCAGAAACAAATAGGGCCATAATATCAGCATCAATCAATAAAGTAAACTCTGTTCAAATTAGCTGAATGCAATACAAGGACCAAATGGTAGACAGACAATCCTTTTTTTTTTTACGTAAAGTGGTTTGATTACTGGCAAAGAAAACTCTGGCTTGCAGCAGCGGCTTGTTTGCTAGCATGTCTACATATATTTTGGTTCTCTTGTAATTGGTGATGTTATGACTAATTTCAGTTTATTTTGTTGTGGTTTTTAGCCAGCAAGGTTCTGCATCTGGTCATTTCACATATGACCGCTCTTTGGCTGCCTCGCATTCATATCTTGGTGGTGGGTAATTTATTAACATTTTCTGTTTCCTTTTTCTGTACTTCTTTTCTTAATTAAAAATAGTGGTTCCCAGAGGCTGAAGAAATTCACAGTAGGATGGGTTTCTTGGAGGGTGGTGCTGTGCTGATCCTTCCTCTGTTCTATCTGGAAGGTACTAGGCTTAAAAATTTCTTTCAATCTGAAGTGGAAAATGGACAAACTGGTAGTGGGGATCCCTTATTTTTTCACCTTAAAAGTATCCATGGAACACTTCACTATTTGCATTTTGATTTCTTGCTATTTCATTTCTCGTTAATCTAGGATGCTTCCATTTTTATCACTTGGATCAAAAATTAAGGTTTTTGTTCACACGACCTACGCATTTGATTGTGTCTTCAGTAGTAATGAATTAAGGAGAGAATAATTGCCTGTACGTGCCTAATTAAGATAACGATCTACACTCATTCCTACTCAAAGAATGATATGATAAGTTCTGATTTAACCTAATTGCCATTTCCTAGCCGAAAACTAAGAAAATGTGAACTCATTAGTTATCTATTGTCCTGAGTAAGTTCTCTCTGTGTGTGCGCGTCTCACAAACAGTTCTTATAGGCGTGTGCTACCTCTTCATTTAGCTTTTATTTTTACTTAGCTTCACTTCACCCTTTTGCAGGAGTTGTTCTGTTCCCAGAGGCCACCCTTCCTCTCAGAGCAGTTTTGCCTAGTTATAAAGCTGCTTTTGAACGGGCCTTAAAACGAGATTATGCTCCTTGTACTATTGGTGTTGTATGTGATCTCCTTGCTATGCCTTACGTTATTTTCATCTGTATAGACTTTGTTCCATCATTCCTTTCCTTCGATTAATGTTAGCAATGTCTTTCAGGTTTGTGTTGAGAGGGATATTGTAAATAGAAGGTACAATCTTGCAACTACTGGTACAACTGCTGAGGTACAGAGTGAAAACCTTGTTTCATTTTTGTTTTTGAGTATTTAGAGGGTCCGAAAGCACCAGCCTGTTCCTTCTCCCTTGGAGAGTGAGAGATTTGACTGCTTACTAGCGCTGTCCCCATACCACGTTAAGGTACGATGATGCCTAGATTTTAACATGAACCAACTCACCACCATATTTTCCAATAACCATATTGCCCTCTATTGGGTATCTGAAAAGCTGAAACCAGCTGTTCTTATGTTATTTGTTAAGTAATTTGGGTTCTATTTACTTTTCTTTTATGTTGGATCCTTAAAGCAAAAGGTCAAAGGTGCAGGACATCTCTTCACTGCAAATTAACTGAGGGGTAAAATTGGGTTACATTCAGTGTTTCTGTATTATGTCTGAGTTTTTCTTTTTTAACACAAAACAAAGAGTACATGATTTAGGCATTTAGCAACTGAACTTTATGTTAGAGAGAAGAGCCAACTACAACCAGCATTTACGTGCATTTTTAAAATTTGTGTTGGGAGTATTGTTTTATTTTTTTGGTTAGCCAACTGAATACACAGCATCTTGCTTGATAACTTTCAAGCAGATAAAATAAATTTCCTGTTGAAGTTGTTTTCTTGTTTAAAGCAATTATGAGAAGAGGATGATCTTATATCAAATGGTCATGCTGAAGAATTATGTAAAGTATGCAAACTTAGATCTTAAAAATCATTTTTCATTCCATAAACTCAGGGATCTAAATGGGAACTCAAAGGTCCCTTTTGTCAAAAGTGGTTTGTGATGTCTGGAAGTAGCTTTTTTATTCTTGAGCTACAGTCTGACTTTCAACAGTCATAGAGTTTAAAGACCAATTATGTACTGATAATTACGATCTCATGGAATCTGTACATTAACAAGTGTTATTTCATGCTGAATTCAAGAGACAGCAGAATATGATTGAGAAATATAAGCATGAGTTGATGAGGAGATGGCGTTCAGTGTTGGACACTGGAGCTGTACGATGCAAGTTGGTTGTTATTTTCCATAGTTAAGCTGCAGTTTTACCCTCCACGTTGTTACTTCTCTTTCTCCACAAAAATTATTTATCTAGTGTGTATCATGGAAATGGAGAATTTAGAGTCATAACTACCCCCAAATTGTTGGATGATACCTTTCATTTCATATTGCAATCCATTGCTTTTACATCAAATCGATTTTGTAATTAATATGTGCATCTTCCTTGGCTTAAAAGTGAAATATGGCTGATAAATATGAGCACAAGGAAAAGTAGGTGAAGAATCAATACTGTTTTACTGCTCATAGACTTCTTATTATGGAGGCAAAGGAAGTTTTGTATGGATCTCCGAAACTTGGTAGACATGTCTTTTAAATTTTTTACAGATTTATTATCCACGATATAGTGTCGGGTCCTTTTGGATTGGCTTCTTTTTCAACATTGCTGTCTTGACGTACTGTGCTGTAACTGTTGCCTCATATGCCATGAACTCTGTTAGTGTGATAGGCTACTGTTACAGGCACAAAGACCAAATTTGGTATATACATTCTGAGCATTGTGTTCTGATAAGACCCAGCAGTTGTGCTTAATTTCTTTCTATTTGAATGTGCAGATTAAGCAATATCGGCGGCTCGAAGATGGCACTGTAAATGTTGTTACCCGTGGCCAGCAGCGTTTTCGTATTAGGCGCAGTTGGACTGATGACGATGGTGCAGTGAGTAACTGTTAGATACCTGACCGATTTATAAATGCTGTTCTTGCAGGGTTGACTTCTGAATTATTCTCATTACTTTATTGTCAATAGCTTGTTGGAGAAGTTCAAATCATTCGAGAAGATTTGCCATTGAGAACACCATGGGAGGCAGTCGGTAAACTTGCTCCATTAAAGAACTTGCAAATTGGTGGTATCTCAAAAGTGCGACCTTTAACTGGTTCTCAGGCTAATCCAAATAATTATGAGGATGGAAATGATTCTGACGCACTGTCAGACGGAAGTTTTGAGATGCTTCTTACAGAAACAGAAAGAAAGTTGCACCAATCTGGTCTTTGTTCTTGTTATGGTTCTGATACTATTGATGAGTCAACAAGTAGTGACGGCGAGAAGTTTGGGCAAGATTTGGAATGCCAACCTGGAAGACCTCAGTTAGACAATGGGGATGCTAGTCCAGGGGTTGGGAAAACAGGTTTTCTGGATGTACAACCTTGCAACAGAGTGGATCAGGAGAAGTACCCTATAAGCCACCTCCGTGACGTTCCTAGAGCCTTCTGGCCTGGCTGGGTTTACCGCATGTACGATTCATATTCTCTTGCTCAGAAGGCAGCAGGTGATGTGGCTTTTCTTTCTTCCATCCCTGCTTCGTTCTCTTGTCTTGCTTATCCCATAAACATCTGGAAGACTGGAATCGTAATTTGTGTATGAACATATAGATGCATTTTTGTTTTTCAGTTTCTGGATGTAAGCATCAATTATTGGCAAGACCATGAAAATGGCGGTTCTGCAAAATCTTTATATTTATTTTTTAGATTTCAAATGTTCAATTAGTATTAGAATCCCACATTGTTTGGGAAAATATAAATGATCTACTTAATAAGGTGAGGGCAATCCTCCCCTAATAAGCCGGTTTTATTAGGTGGAGTTAGGCCCAATATTCCTAACATGGTATCAGAGTTAGGCCCAATT